ATCCTGATACTCTCAAAAACGACAGCGATTCGCCTCAACCCTCTGAAGAGCTTACTTCGTCATTATGAACACCGCTTGAGTATCACCCCGCAACTTGCTGTTGACCATCTTGATGTTGATGTCTTGCACACACTTCCAACCGATCGAGAGGTTTGCTCTAATAAAAGAGCTCGTGTTAGAAGATGTCTTCACCGAGATGATATCACCGAGATTTATTTTTCGCGGTTACCCACATTACTCTCAAGTTGGTCACAATCATCACGCCGCGATCGCCGTTATTCCCCTGAAAATTTCAAGTCGCTGAGAAACGGTATATTTTACTCCGTGGACAGTAGTTCATGCCTTGCTAAAACTATTGCAGTTGAAAACTTATTTCACAATTCTCTTCGCGGAAAACAATTGTGTTATCGGTGGTCGCGGAAACATATTTACATGGCGTATTACGCCACTTCACTTTAAACGGGTGAAACTCCATTCATATTAGTTTAAGAGTAAACATGAGATTTACATATTTGTATTCATTGGAGTTTCACCACCCTAGTGATATTAAAGAACACTACTGCATATCACCGCGAATATCGCGTTTTTCACCGAGTTTTACGCCACTTCACGTGAAACGGGTGAAACTGCATTTATATTAGTTTAAGAGTAAACATGAGATTTACATACTCGTATTTATTGAAGTTTCACCACCCTAGTGATATTAAAAGAATACGATTGAAATATATATTTCACGACTACTGCATATCACCACGAATATCGCGTTTTTCACCGAGTAGAACGGGTGAAACTCCAATAATATGATTATACTCACTTTAGTGTCTTCAACAGCGTTAATCGTATCGATCTCGTGCTCACCCCTGAGGTAATATTCACAACTGTTTTGAATCTCATAATTTCACCTTCTTAGTTTTAACGCGCCACTGGACAGATCGAATCGGATCTCGGCGTCTTGCCAAATTGAGCTCGTGGTTTCTACTGTTGATGAAGACCTTCTTCTGGGTGGCTCCATAACAGTATCGGACATTCTCAGTGCTCAGTTTCCTCACTAATTATTCGCACATAAAAGTGTAGAGAAAAACCAACAAGAATTTCCATATTGGTAAGCTCTCAGTGTTGGAGGAATATACGTTCGCTTTCCTCAGCTGAGCTCAGAAATTTTACGAAAATCAAAAATAATTTCCATTTTGTCACCTAATTTCAACTCTCGATTTTGGGAGTACGTCATTTTTCTGTACAGAAAGCCGAAAATTGACGCTGTACCTCAACTCGACCGAAAAACGCTAGTCCACACGAAACAGCAAATATATCAGCAGTAATGACAGCAGACTCCGAAACTTGACAAAGGCCGTTTCTGTCGCCAACAACAACCCCAATAGAATCAAAACCACTTCGTTACGGTAGACAACAGAGTGCAATAGGAAACCAATATGGCGCTATCGAGTTGAATAACATTCCAGTGCTCTAAGCGCTGGTATTCTTGGTAGAAAGAAGCGGAGCGAAACTCAGCGACACGTAGGGATAATACTCACCGCTGCCTTCCTCCTGAGACAAACCACAAATAAACTACAATACAGTTTCGATTTCACGACTATTTCACTTCACGTAAAACGAGTTTAATTTCACTTACATCAGCAGCAGCGCTTCCCTGTTGTTTCTCAGCCTTTGCACCAGAGAGGTAGTTCTTGCCAAACAAGCCACTACTAGAAAAGACGTCCATGAGCTCATTGCGGAGCTTCATAGGCTTGGCCTGGGATTTCTTTCCGACTACTGCGATGAACGCCGCGAAATTCGGTGGCACTCCAAAGCGGAGAACAGCTTCCACGAAAGTTCGCATCGCTTTCAAATGCATCCACCCAACGATAGTGTCGGAAAACGCAGCAGCACATACCCTAACATGATTTCGGTAAAACACAGAGAGTTAATCTATTATCTTACCTCTTGAGAAAAGCTTCTTGCTTCTTCACTTCGCTCTCCATATGGGCCTTGGCGTTCTGCAGTTCGTCGTACTTGGTAGGATCGTAGGTGAAATCACGGCAGTTGAAGCGAGCATGTCGCATGTTGTTGGCGAACTCCTCGACACTGTTTTTGAAAACCACCACTCTGTACAGCTTGGCACCATCTTTATCAGTGGGCAAGTTCAGAGGAGAGGCCGATTGAGGCACCACTTTAGTAGCAGCAGATTCGTATTTACTCAAAAAGTCCTGGTCCTGCCCGCGGGGGACGACTACGACAACAGTAGTGAGATGCTCGGTCTCAACGAAATCGCCCTCGCGCACACTGTTGGGGGTAATGACATCTGTCAAGTCCCGCTGAGCATACGAGCCGGATTCCTGAGGAAAATATATATGTGAAATTTCAGGAGAAAACGAGAGCGAGAGAAAGAATAAAAAAATAAAAAAGGAGAAAAACTAGAAAAATGAGAGAAAATGGAAAGCCCGAGAAAAAATAATGAATATAAGATAAAGAGAAAATCGGAGAATAATAGCGCGAAAATAAAAAAATCGAGAGATAAAAAAATGAAAAGTTTTTATTAAAAACTGAGAAAGAATAAAGAGAAAAAATAAAAGAGCAAAAATAAAAAAACCTGAGAAAAACTAAAACGAATACAAGATAAAGAGGGAATGGGAAAGCGAAAAACTAAAAAAAATACAAAAAATACAAAACAAAAAATGAAAAAAATACAAGATAAAGAGGAAATATGAGAGCGAAATAATACAAAAAATACAAAAAAAGAATTAAAAAAAGAAATAAAAGATAAGAAATAAAAAAATAATAAATAAAAAAATAAAGAAGAAAAGAGACAGAGATGTATATAAACTTACTTTCTTGCTCATTTGAGAGTACTGTGTCTTGAGATCAGAATAGGCCTGGCTCTTCGACTTCACCTCCTCATCGAGCTTCTGAATACTCGTCAACAACAGACTGAGGTTGTCCTGAATATTCCTGGTGCGGGGGAACTTGGCATCATCCCAGTGGAATTTGGTGATGTACTCCTCTGCAGATAGTGACGCTCTCTGGGAGACGACCTTGAACTCAGTGTTGGGGTCGAGCTCGAGCAGCTGCCTCTCGATACGGCGAAGGACGGCTTCTACCTGAGGGGAAATTAGAGAGTTGATGATGATGATAGTTGCCTTACTTGAGAGTCTTGTTTGGAAAGGTCATCTACTAGTCTGATGAGAGAATCAAAAGAGCCGAATTTGAGGTTCTCGGGCACGTCAAACCTGGGAAATAATTGCAGTGGTAAAAGTTGCATAAAATTCTTCTCACTTGTAAACAGCATCACAATACTTGTTCTTCTCACACACTCTAGACTGCAAAACAGTGTGAATGAGCTCCTTGGGCTCGTCAGCCGATGAGCAAGCCAAGATGAGATATGGTTGAATCGTGGAAGACGACATTTTAATGCACTACAACGACAATAACAGTCTAGTAGCAGCGACGAGCTTAAGAGCCATGCTCAGCAACTTAGTCTTCACCTCGCGCGCGCCCATCTAATCGATATTGAAATTTCCGAAGATCTTTCTGAGCCCGCGTCTGAGTAGCGTAGGAAGCTGCGCAGCTCCCTAGTAAATGAGATGGATGATTCTTGTAACCTTAGTATTCCTTCTGACGACGGTCTTGACCCGAAAACTACAAGTTGGGTTACTTGAACTGTTCAAATGAAACGATCTTTAATAACGCGCAATAAATGATACGACAATCACGTTCTCCTGCTCTTGGGCTGCGGCCATCGACTTTGTCTCTCGAGTCCTCTACTTGAACTGTTCAGTGGTAGCTATATAATCTCCTAACCGTAACGCTATTATTCGGGTATATGTCCTCCTTGTTTCCATTCTATATCAGTTTTGGAGTAGGAATATATGTATTCGCTTTCCTCAGCTACTGAGCTCAGGAGTTTCCTATACAGTGTTGGAGTAGGAATATATGTAATCGCTTTCCTCAGCTGCTGAGCTCAAGAGTTTCCTATACAGTGTTGGAGTAGGAATATATGTATTCGCTTTCCTCAGCTACTGAGCTCAGAAGAGTTTCCAAAGCTAACTATAGGAGTTCACTAGGATAGAAGTGGTCAGAAACCAATGAGGGTTTCCTCATAATTTTCATATCATCACCAACACTTGTAGATGATCATATGCATATCTCCTCCCCCACTGTTGGGCATGAACAAGCCAAGAGTGATCGGGCTACTATCACTGTGATCGGTTTTACTAGGGTTTTCGAGGTCCTTGACGTTTATACCCTAGTAAAAACGCTGATGATCCTGTCACGTTGAACGTGCATCGGCTAGATTGCATCAGGGAGAGAGTTACACCGTTCACAGCGAGTACATTAAATTCAATGAAATTTTAAATTCGACGTTTTTTAACATGAGATTCTAATTGAGAGATTAGGATCAGGGTTATTAGAATTCAGAAGGCAACTTTCGACCAATACAAATCGAAGTTTGGTGTTTTCAATTATTTCGAAATCGCAATTAGATATTTTTTAAATAGAACTTCATATTTGAAAATTCAGTCGAAATTGAAGTTGGTCGGATTTAAATGAGGTTATTTGAAGATCCCACTATTTTAACTTGAGGTGAAAAAGGCGTAGATCTTTAGCTCACGATAGCGCATACCCAACGCTCCGTAGTGTTTCAAACACTGCGTTTGGTACAGATTGATAATCAATCAAAGTGTTAGTTTTGTCCTCTTCCTTTTCTCCTACGGAATGGTCTTCCAACTCCCTCATCATCTTGAGGCTCTCCGTTGTATGGTTACTGAAAGGCTATGGGATGGCCAACACGGTAGAGAGCCGATGCATGACCTTATGAGTGAAATCATGGGGTACTGTGGTAGGCCGGTATTAGCGATGGACTGCCCGACGGAGAGGTTATTGCTCAAACATGGAATGCGCCTCAATATGAGTGCCTCATTGTTCATGGACCGCGGCAGTATATACCAACTTCGTCGATTTGATGGAATCATCGTTTTGTACGTCGTCTTTTCTGCGGCTGATCGGGAGTCGTCGGGTATCGAAGTGACGACGCTTTGCACTGATGATTATCCGGACGGTGAATTGGAGTTTCACTACGATGAGGCTACCCGCAAAATATACGTGTTGTACGATGATTGTCGTGCTTTACTTTCGTACGACATGGGGAGGAGAGAGAGAGGAGGGCCCATCAGGATTCCCACTCAGGTTTTTCGTGATGGGGAAGTAGTTGGTACGACTGTATTTGGGCAGTGTCTTTATGTCGGGGTGATGTTTCGCAAAACGCGGGTCGTAGAAATCGAAATTGTGTGTGTTCGACTAACTACAACGATGGAGGTGAGGCACGTCTACACGATAAACCAAGATGGTATGGGCTATAATCTATCCTTCCTCGGTTTCACCCGGGTGCCTGGCGACGCTCAAGCTATCGATGCTATCTATATGTCCGATGAGACGCTGGGCAGTGGTCAGTCGACCCGAACTGTGTACCAATGGCATTCTGTTCGAATTAACGTGGTGAAGATAGATAGTGCGATGTTTTTTAGGACCACTAGGGGTGATACGGTGGAGGTCCCAAATGGTGTACGCTGGTCGTTGGTGCGCACGCAAGGGCTTGATCGGTTGCTCATGCGTGAAGATCATCGCTTAGCTACTCATCATGAAGAACGCTATGTTCTACGTCGATCTCCAGGGTACAACAGAGTGGCGACGATTTCTAATGATGGGGGAAGACTGCCATATAATAGACCGATATTGTTTGACCGCTGGAGTTTTTGTTATGTCAAACAGTCCAGCCGTGGTGACACCATGTTAGTACGTAGCCATCCATATCTCATGTGAGATGGGCTTCTCCATGATGATTGTATCGAATATATGAAAAGCAATTTTAGAATAAGCTTTTTATTTATAAGGCTTTTGCTGTGTTATTCAATGTGGTTACATTGTTTGAATCGACAAATGAGATGCCTCTTTGTAGAAGACCTCAGTAAGCATCCTCAACGACATTATTATATCCGTGGTCGAATCGAACATTAGTATTCAGCTCTATGATAGAAGTAACTGGGAAAGTTCTCGACACGATTTCTCATGAGAGCTGAGCCTTACAATATGCTAGAGGGCATAACTTCGAAGGTCTGAACATCAAGAAAACTAGCCTGGTGGAAAATATGATACTAGTACAAAATCCAACTTGGATTTTGCACTAGAAACGACACTTCGAATACTTGTACAAATAACATATTTTCCACGTCTTGGATTATCCAAGACCTTGTCTCCGGATGAATCTTCTGCCCTCCGAGTTGTGGCAGAGTGCGTGTCACCTCGCAAGTGCCATTTGAGCACTGCAGAGCAGGAGACGCAAGGTGCACTAAGGACACTCAGGATAACAAGCTCCTGCCGAATCCACCAAGCTTGCTAGCACTGGAGTGCTCCCAGTACCTCCATCGGAGTCCTCGGTTAAGAAGAATAACACTCAACACATCTACAATACTACTCGAGGTTCTCAAGTCTACCTAGCTAGCGTGACTAGCTAGGAAGCTTGAAGGACCCAGGGTGTCCCTTGTGCCGGTAGCGATTGTGCCAATCGCTGTCCCGAACCAGACTTCACCCAAAGACCACTCTCCGGCACGTTTTCAACCGCGGAGAACCTACGCTTTTCCAATGCCGACAGCGCAGGGCGGCGAGGGAGAGTAACTCCTCGACTTTTGCCCATTGTGCATTTCGGCCAGTAAAATGACAGTTAGAAGCTATTCTCTGGAGTATAGTTGTGATACAAGTGCAATCCAAACTGCAAGCTTGCAGAGAAAAAAGGAAGAGAAACGCGGAATTCGAAGGGAGATAACGAACCCGACGATACAACTCGGGGTGCAGTGGAGTGAAGCACCCTGCCTTGTGCGGCAAATTGCGTGGGCTCAATACTGTGTGACGCGAACGAGTGCGCTACACTCACTGGTTGCCTCTTCCTTGAGTGTTGTTGTCCAATAGTTTCGGAATTTTACGGTCGTAGTCCGACCTGTATTCAGATAGGCAGTCGACTGTGCAGGATCACTGTCAGTTGGACAGGGACTTCATATGGCGGGCATCTATAGCTCCCATATGATTATGTATCGGTACTGGGACAGACTACTAGTTGTACTGTTCTCTTAGGCTGTTGGTACGGTATGGTAGTTATATTTCGGTTAATGCATTTGACTTGAGTTACTAGTATTAACCGGATGGATTATCTGTGTGTGAATAGTCTCTTACTGTGCTGCTATGGTACGGTTTCAGAGTATGTCATTGTCAACGTAGTAGTCGCGTTTGTCGCTCTGTTCTGAGAGTTCACCCCCTCGTGTCACTTGTGATGAGTCGGCTACGCTTTACTTGTCTCAAAGCATGTCACGCGTGCATCGTGCACGAGCAATGCCTTGGCTTTTGGCCACCGCGGGCAAGCAAAATTTTTCCTTGGATTTTGATCATCTACCTTGCTAAGATATCCCCTCGATGGGAATCGAACCTGTGTCCTATCGGAAGGAGAAGATTGTTGTGCATTTAGGTCAAATCTGCAAGGTCAATCACTTTTCGTGCATCTCGTTGGCGGTCGGATGGAGAGAAGGTAAGGTGGGCGGAGGAGGAGGAGAGGTAGTATCTTGAGGTTGAGCATGCAAGATTCAAAATAGGTCCGAATATGGTACATCGGCTGATTATCGATCAACAGCTCATATTGTTAACAACTTTTACAAATGGGAAACACACTCGCGTCGATCGAGTCCGACCCGAGGGTCTCCAGGCTAGAGACTTTCAGTACCAACATGTTCGACCAGTGCTGCCGACGACCCGACTCTTCCGAGTGGCTTAATGAAGTTACAGTAGTGACAGGCAATGGTAATGATATTCATACCACACCAAAGGCAACTCCTGCGATCGTCGCTACGCCAAGTACTCCTTCTATCGTTGGAAAGCAGGAGGAAGGTAATACATAAGCAAAAGCCTCCAACCGGTAGTGCTGATCTCAGGTCGATCAGTAGGTGGAGTAGAGGACACCGAAGTAACGCGAACTGTAGAGGTAGGCCCTTTCGAAACAGACGTCTTTACGTCCACTGCCTCTTGCTTACTTCATTTTAATTTCTCCGTAAAAATTATCTCGGGAGCTCGGGTGTCTCAGAGGTCGCATTATGCATGTGTTTGTGGCAAGAGGAAAAATCTGAGGAAATTTTAAGAAATTCTTGCTGGTTATTTGTACACTAACTCATACTCTAATTTGCCGACTTCTGTAATGAGCTCTAGAAACTCCTGATCTTGGCTGAGGAAAGTGAACATACATTCCCACACTGCTTCTGTGCTGAAGAGGAAACCCGAACGAATCTCGCAAGATGTCTCGGCTCGAAAATTATTATCAAAACAAACGGCATTCGTAGTGAATCGAAGTTGATTTGATGAGGGAGTTTTACTCTTGGATTGATTGGGTTTTGCAACGAAACTGTCAATGACTGGAATTATCACTTTATTGATAGTGTTGAAGTATACGTTTGGTTTTCTGAGCTGACTTCAGGAGTTTCTGCATTCCCATGAAAATTCACACACGGTTTAGGTTAGAAGTGTACAACTTGTTATCATTGTTGTACAAATTGCTTTGCTATTGGTTAATTCTATACTCGAAAAACCGACAGGAACTTTTTGTTGCATAAGCGACAATTTGTTTTACATTATCAGATCGCAGCGTTCGAAGGTGTGTTAGAGGAAGACCATGATGACGATGTAGCGGACGAGCGAGAAGGGGCTGCCGACGGAGATATAGAAGCTGACTGTTTTAAGATTGACATCCAGGTAGTATCTTATGTTCACCTGAGTAAGATATAAAATAGGTCCGCTTTTTGTCAGAGGATACCTGGTGTTCGTCTCGGTATAGATGTGGACCATAGCGATCCTCGATGGTTGGTGGTGGATCGAGTCACGCCTGAGGGATCTATTGATCTTTGGAATAGGAAAGCTCCTCCGGGACAGAAACTGCAGAAAGGCGACATTATTGTACGTGTAAATGACGTGCGAATGGACGCGATGCGCATGGTAGAACAATGTCAAGCATCTAGTGTACTCCATATGTGGGCGAAACGACCTAAGCTCATCCGTTCCTTATCGAATTGATGGTAGTGGGCATTTTTCATGCTGCAACATTATTATCAATTTCTCGGATTTGCGACCCACAATTTTCTCTAAGTACATGTTGCTAATGACTGCTGATCTATTTTCCAATACTTGATATCATACTAATCGCCTTGCGACCCGCTCTTGGCATTGTCCATTGAGTCCGAGTGTTGCTGATCGTCCCCATTTATATTCTCTGTATAACTAATGTCTAGTTATTGACAATAGTAATATATTACCCCTTAACCATAAACACTCTCCTTGTGTTGGTTTAATATTAATACAGTGTGGACCAGAAAGGATAATAATGTTGTCAACAGATGGAGACGACGCAGGAGAGGATCTTTATGCTGATCTCACACCCGATGCTGATGAAAATAGCGGAGCAGAGGAGGGAAAGGTAATATGGACTTTGGCTTGAATCGCTAGATGAACGAACCTTCTCGTGTGTAGATGATAATCATGTAACGTTGTCCGTTTATGAATATAAGCATTAAGGTATAGACCTCGGGCATAGCGGCCCCATTCACCAAATAGATTCCTCAATGTTATAGACCTCGGGCATAGTGACCCCATTCGTCAAGTGGAATCTCAATTGTATAGACCTCGGGCATAGTGACCCCATTGTAATGACAATAGAATTACAATTACCCGCAGGCGCCCTATGCAATATATCACTAAAATTGGAACTGTAAGTATCCTCACATCTACGGTATTAGAAAATACACATAATGTCGAATATTCTCCTCTACATCTCCACGTCACTGTGTATGAACCTCCATATCTTAATGGTATAGACCTCGGGCATAGCGGCCCCATTGCCATGGCATAAGAAATTTAATCACCGTACGTCAAATCGACGGTATTAGAAAATACAGATAATATCGAATATTCCCCTTCCTATATATACACGTCACTGTGTATGAGTCTCTGTATCTTCATGGTATAGACCTCGGGCATAGCGGCCCCTCCATTGTAACGAATATCTCCCCTTATACCCACAATATGTCGGCACTATAGTAATATTCATGTAATCACATAATATATTTTTATCTTATTGAAGGTATAGGGTAATTTATAATTAATTGTATAGCTATATTCTATAACTATATACTGATAAAACCATTGATTAGATATCATCATTATACATATTGTGCATTATGTAAGCACTATTAGGTGCCCTCGTCATCGCCCACATCATCAGCAGCAGCATTACCGCATATATTCGACCCCCTTTTTAAGGAGGTATTCATACTGAGTAAAATAGCGGATTCTATTATCACACCATCGACACCGAGTACGGTGAGGAAAAAGAAGAGGAGGATTACTAACTATACTCCAACTGCTGGGGAGGGGGCAGATGAGAATGACGAGGAAGAGATTCTATTGAGTGAGTTCCATACCGACTGCTTCGTGGTTGATGTTTTTTCGATCAAAAGCTAAAGGATATAGTGGTGAGAATACCAAGCTCAGCTGCGAAAAGCAAATGCAAATTTCAAATTCGATCAGTTGTTCTCGAAAAAGTTT